AAATGTAGAACTAACATCTACTTTTTTACTCTACAGAGTTTTGGTCCATCACCATCACCGAATTTTAAATCGATTTATAGTTTATAGATATGTTAGATTTGGTATGAACATATGATGTACTTATAATTGATAAAAATAAAATAAAAATGATGATGATGATAGTTACGATAAATCATAACACCAATAATAATAATGATAATATTGACAATGATGATGACAATGTTGATAACAATGAGGATAACAAGGATGGTTACAATGATGATAACAATTATGATAATAATGATGATAATGATAGTAAAAAAGATAATAAAATGATATTATTGATAATGGTGATGATAATAATATAATAAAAATAATGATAACAATAAAGATGATAACGATAAATGATAATAAAAATGATAATAATGTTAATAATGTTAATAACAATAATAATAATAATGACAATGATAACAATGATAATGATAACAATCCAATGATAATAATGATAATGAAGCTAGATGATGATAATGACGACGACAATTTTTTTTTAAATGACATTATTTTGATTATTAAATTCCATTCCATCAAGGAAAGTACAGTTGACAATATATTTTTAAAAATAATTATGAATATTATTTCCTTTAAATTCATTAGAATTTTAAAATTCATATTTAATTTCTTGATAATTATAAAATAACACAATCAGGTTGCAAGGACATATGAATTGGAAAATTTGAGTTTGGATTAAAAAAATGAGCATTCATACTCTAAGTTCAAATAAAAAGAGTTGAATTTTGTTAGTTATTCTTAATGTTTACTGAATTTTGCAAGATAATGTTCTTTGTTGAGTCTAAACAAGAAATTTTATAGCCCGAGATATTTTGTATAATTCATGCAATATTTATGCAAAACTTTGAGACAAAAATTGGTTCCGCAGGGTTAAGAAAAATCTTCAGCTGCCAAACTTTACCTCACCTAATACATGCACTGTACAGTACATTTGTACAGCTCACTTTACATGTGTACAGCGTATTGTACAATGTGTACAGTTCAGTATACAAAGTACATAGCGCACATGTTCAATGTACATAGCGCACATTTACAATGTACATAGCGCACATGTACAATGTACATAGCGCACATGTACAATGTACATAGCGCACATGTACAATGTACATAGCGCACAATTAGCGCACTTGACGATTTATTGTACGATGACAAAATGAAGACGACCAAGTAGATTGTCCCAGTTTACCAAAAAGAAGTAAATTAACAGTTTTATTTCTACAAAATATAATGACATCTGTTGTAAATTAAGTGACAGATTTAGACCGCAATATAAAATTGAGCATCAATATTCAAGACTGCTCCGAATTTAATGTATCGCAACACCTTGTCCATAATAACTCAATTGTAATGTTTTTAGCTTTAGAAATGAATTATATTGATAATAAATTATTCTAATTTCTAATTTATTTTTCAATAAATGTGGAACTAACATCTACTTTTTTACTCTACAGAGGTTTGGTCCATCACCATCACCGAATTTTAAGTTTATTATTAGCTTCTTTTTAGCTTCAGACAAGGAATAATTCTGAAATATTTTTGTACAAGATCGTCCAGATTTTGGTTCGCCATGCAGTGTTGACATTAAAATTAGCCTTTTGCAAATCCCATAGTAACAAAAATATGTTATACCTTACCTTGGGTTTATTGATGAAAGCTTGTGTTTAAGGTTTTCTATAATTAAGTATGTATCATCATCAGCTTTAACTAGGAAATCAAATTCTCCTCCATAGGTTTTCCAAATCCTAAAATAAAGTTTAAAATAAAATTTATGCAATAATTGCAGTGTGTAGATATAAATAATTTCAGGTGTTTTCTAATAAATGCAAAACTTTGGAATACACAATATTCATTGAAAAATCTGTTTAGAAATATTTCTAAATGTCAAAATTTTTCAGAAACCTCGACAAAAACTTCTGGGGTTAAACGTTCAACTAATTTCTCACCTTAAACTGTAATTTTCTAATTCTTTTATCTTTGAAACCTGAAGGTGTAAACTGTAACCCTTTCATATTTCTAACTATGAAATCAAATAGTCCAGCTTAAAAATGTCAAAGGTTGCAAATATTGAAAGAAAATATCAAATTGAATGCTCAAGGTTCTGGAATCAAACTCATTTTAAAAGAAAAATTGAATGAACCATGAACGAGGTGGAGGATGGGGGAGTGGTTGTTATTAATCTCCCATATTTTCTATATTCCTGTATATGATTCAATGTTTGCCAATAGATAAAGGATCATCTATACTCAACCTATACCTAGGGCAGGTGTTTTAGTTAGAAAATCTTTATTGCATGCTCATTGGCAAGAATATTAACAACCAAATATAGGATTGAATAAATGAAAAGCAAGAAATAGTTGAACTGCATTAGAGTAGCAGTTAAACTAGCCTTATCTAGTTCAGCTACCTTTTCGCGGTTCATTAGATCCAACTTCTTTATTTTTAGTACAACAAAGCAATAATATTTAATTTAATTCCCCTTAACTCGGAAAGAGTATAATAGTAGGAACACAGGGAGTAATCCCATCTGCCCTTCCTCCTAAAAACCTCATAATCTCTCTTCTACCTGCTCCACAATTAGATGTCACAAGAACTATTTGGAGAAGCCTCAAAGCATAGAAACAATAAACAAGAAGAAAAAAAGAAAATCGGTTAGGAAAAGAAAAAAAGAAAATCGGTTAGGAAAAGAAAAAAAGAAAATCGGTTAGGAAAAAGAAAAAAAGAAAATTGGTTAGGAAAATGAAAAAAAGAAAATCGGTTAGGAAAATGAAAAAAAAAGAAAATCGGTTAGGAAAAAGAAAAAAAGAAAATCAGTTAGGAAAATGAAAAAAAAAGAAAATCGGTTAGGAAAAGAAAAAAAGAAAATCGGTTAGGAAAAAGAAAAAAAGAAAATCGGTTAGGAAAATGAAAAAAAGAAAATCGGTTAGGAAAATGAAAAAAAGAAAATCGGTTAGGAAAATGAAAAAAAGAAAATCGGTTAGGAAAATGAAAAAAGAAAAACCGGTTAGGAAAATGAAAAAAAGAAAATCGGTTAGGAAAAAGAAAAAAAGAAAATCGGTTAGGAAAATGAAAAAAAGAAAATCGGTTAGGAAAATGAAAAAAAGAAAATCGGTTAGGAAAATGAAGAAAAGAAAATCGGTTAGGAAAATTAAAAAAAGAAAATCGGTTAGGAAAAGAAAAAAAGAAAATCGGTTAGGAAAAAGAAATAAAGAAAATCGGTTAGGAAAATGAAAAAAAGTTGAAAGGGAATCTCTAGTGTCAAGCTGTGCACTGTCATATTTTCCGACAGTAAATACGGACAAGACTAGTTAAGGGAAGTAGATGTCCCCCTGCCCCCTTCTAAAAATTCTACCCTATGTAAAAATCCTAAAAAAGTGTGCAATTGTTGCTGAGATTGCACCAAACGTGCAAACATTCCAAAGTTCAATCCAGAGTTCAGAAAAAAGTCAGATGCAACTCAAGAATAAAGAGTTCAGAAAAAAGAAAGTAAGCTCAGCTAGTTCAATTAAATACAGCAAAAGCAAGATCCTATAAAAATAGTTTTTTCTTGTATGGCGAATTATAAGGACATTAAAAAAAAATCTTTCCTTTTTAAAAACTAGCCAAATATGATTGAAAGATGTACAAACAAGAAGAAAATGAAGAACAAGTAATATAGAAATCTCTAAAATATTTCTATGTGATCTCAAATAAATATTTAAAAGCATTGAAAAATTTAATTAAAATAAATGATTAAAGTTAAAAAGAGAATAAAGATGGGCGACTAGAGAAGAGAGAATAAAGATGGACATCGTTTTTTATTCGTGTTTTACTTTCAGTATAGCTGCAAAAATCTTGAATGTATAACCTTATTTTTATTACATTGTGTAAAATTATCACTCTGGATAATGTTTGTAAACATGACTACAATTGTCGTTTTCTACAAAAGTGACTTGAAAATTTCTACTGCGGAAAAAATTGTGTACAAATAATCAGAATAAACCACTTTAAGCAACAATAAAAAACAATGTTACCTACACCTGTTTTATCAGATAAAGGTTTGAAGGGTACTGTTGGGAATCCCTCTTTAACTCAATGGTCAATATTAACTATATACTCATATTTGTCTTGTCTATTTGTGTTTAACTCCAAAAGTACACTCTAAACAAAGATTTGAAAGATAAGAACATAATTTTTTTTATTATTCAAAGTCAGTATTTAAAATGAAGAAAACGAAAGGCTTTCAGATAAATTAGGAACTGCATACTTGGTACAGTAAAAGAGAGGCAACAAATGAATTAACAAAAATAATCTCTTCTAACCTTTTAAGACCAAGCTTAACTCTGTCCCACATATCCGCTCTCAGATTTCCAGCAGGAACCTTGAACAACAAAATAAATATTTTCTGATATGTTTAAAAATTGATCCAAAAAAAGAAAGAAAACTCTTTGTTTTTCACTGATCCTTTAAACAGTAGAACAGGAAGACGACATTTGATCAATCTTATGTTTATTAAATGTTATTTTAATGAACTTGTGCAGCCAGTAGCTTGAAAATCAATGTATTACGTAAAATGGGTCTGTGTACATTACAATGCACAAATTTCATGTTCGTTGGATTATTTAAAACATAACATGAGTCTAACAGTCGTCTTCCCCTTCCACAGTGTTATGTGTCTAATTTTCTTTGGTGTTTTTTGTGGCTTTCACTTTTAGTCATATATACATATATACATATATGTATATGTATGTAAACTTACATAATACTGTTAGATCGTAAGTTTTAAATAATAATAAAGAGCTTTCCAAATCATATGTTTCAATGTTATTTTTTTCCTTTGTGCAGCAAAAGATATGTGCAACATTTACCGTGCACAGGTAAAAATATTTAGGACAGAAGATAACGTTGAATAATTTTAAAAGGTATTTCACATTTCTCTTTAAGCTCGTAATAAAACACTTCATTTTTAAAATTGATAACAATACAATCATCTCAAAATTAAGCTCAAATATATGCCTATTAAGAATATGTTGAAAACATAAAAGTAAAAAAAAATGTTGCCAAAAAATTCGATAAATTTAATTACCTCCATAATGTTAAGACCAGCAACATATTGATCCGACCAGTAGTTAAGTCCACCATGCGTTGAAGACAGGAAGACTGTATGATCACATCTACCTGCCCACGTGGCCGCCACGTGGACAGCTTTAGTTCGGTAGTTAACAGGAGCAGTGCTCACCATACACAATATTCGAGGTCTTAAAACAAATAATTTTAATGGTTTCCAGAGCTGGGATTTGAAAAGTAAAACCAAAACTTCAGTATGCTCAAGCTTTAGTTCTTTGCTTGGAGTGGATTTGACACTGGACTTGTCATGGATTCTAATTGGATGAACAGAATAATGATTCCGACAATTCATTAAAAAGCATTTAATTCATTAGAATTGTCTGGGTTACATGCTTTAACTATCAGAACCTCTAGTGTTATTTCTTGGGTTCCTTAATTTAAATTTGACATGTCCAATTCCCTTTAAAACTTTTTCTGAGCTAAAGGTGGAGATATCCTAGTTTTCTCACTGAAAACAAAGAAGTGGTAATTAGTGTTGCTCTACAAAAGTTACCAGTGGCTTCCTGCAGCAGAGACAAGAAAAGAGATTGACAGAATATACCTCTTACAAGATTGAAAAAGGGTGATATCTCGTTGAATAAAAGGTCGTTTGAAATTGCTTTGACAGTTTCAGTAAATAATAGTTTTTAAATGAATTCCCATATCTTAATTTCAACGTCAATTTAAAAAATCTACAAGTTTATTCAGAACATTTAAAATATTTTCAAAAAATTTAAAGAATGAAAAGGATTCACCTACCCTTTAGGCACTTTTCTGTATGAAATAATTGATGGTTTAAAGAGATCATGCCCATATCTCGAACTGATGATCCTAAAATAATTGATGGTTTAAAGAGATCATGCCCATATCTTAAACTGATAATCCTAAAATAATTGATGGTTTAAAGAGATCATGTCCATATCTCGAACTGATATTCCTAAAATAATTGATGGTTTAAAGAGATCATGCCCATATCTTGAGCTGATAATCCTAAAATAATTGATGGTTTAAAGAGATCATGTCCATATCTTGAACTGATAATCCTAAAATAATTGATGGTTTAAAGAGATCATGCCCATATCTTGAGCTGATAATCCTAAAAATATGTTCATTAAATTCTTATTCTGCACGAGGACACATAACTTCTACTATTATATACAAATATTATTAAATATCTTTCCCCATTTATTTTTATATATTTGTATTTGATCCGAAATCAACTTGAACTGATTATGAGCCTGGTGGAACCTCAAATGGCCGAATGGATCGTTCTAAAATAAAAATTATGTCATTGAAAAAATTCTTGAATTCAAAAACATAAAGAAAAAGAAATATCTTTGTTGAAATCTAATAAAATTTGAAAGAATATTATAAAACTTTGATAGAATCTCAAAAATAACTTTTAAATATCATAAAACAAAAATAGATCGAACAAATTGCCTGTCTGTTTGTATCCACAATGTCAAAACGGCTGAACCGATCAGGCCAAAAATGGCTTACCGAATTTGAAAAATATGCCGAGAGAAATGTAGCTTTTTAAAAATGTTGAAAGTCTATCAAAAAAAAAATTTGATAGACTATCGTGAACTTTCGTAAATTTTAATCAATTTTCTGAATGAAGTACCTGATGACAAGTATGCAAAGGATTGATGTGAAGAGAACTCCGAGAGCGCCGGTCAGCAGACCCAAGGAGTACTGGGACAATACAGGGCTTCTAGACAGATGGTTTAAAGAGAGTGTTCATCAATAAATAAAAGGGAGTATATATTGATACCTATCCATTATTAAAGAGTCCTTTGAAATTACACGGACAGTCCCTTTAACCCAATCATGATTAATTTTTTCCAAATAACTTAAACACGGCTCACATTAGAACGCTAAAACTTTTCCACTTTTTCAGCATCATATATATAGTTGTCAACAAATTTTAATAGGCAATTTTTTCTTCTCATACATAAGGTATGGTGAAGGACAGTCAAACCGCGGGTCCGTGTTTAAAAAATTAATTAATAAAGCTACAGGGCTAAAATTAATTAATAAAGCTACAGGGCTAAAATTAATTAATAAAGCTACAGGGCTAAAATTAATTAATAAAGCTACAGGGCTAAAATTAATATATTTGAAAAGCCCTTGAAAAATGGATGCAATAATAATTGTGTCACATTATTTGTAATTAGTGAAAAGATTTATTTTTGAACATTTTTCCGACGTACTTTTTGAACTTGCTCCTTTGAACCCGAACCATTAAAGATAGATGTTTAATTTTTTTAACGAGCAGGCCTTGAAAAGTTGGAATAGGAACATGTATCACACTCCCCTATCTCCATCCAATCTATGTTAGACAAAAAAGCCCAATTGGGATAGGGTTACGGAATACCTGAAAGTTTGTAATATTGAACTACTCAACTAATCTAATATTGTTTTCTTTTTTTAGGAAAATTAATAAAATATTTTAATGTCTAATAATGCGCCAAATAATAAATTAACCCATATTTTTTTCCGTAATGATTAAATCAAATATTATCAAAACATCAGTACAATAAACATATGCATAAATACTGCAGCAGCAGAGCTTAGATAGTTCAAAGATGTTTTCTTGAAAAAAATATATAATTTGTTAAAGAAGGCTAGAGATGGCCGATAAACTGAAATGGTTGAAATTCTCTAAATTGCTACGAATAATAATAATATCAAGTTAGCTTTAACTGAATTTCAAACAACCTTCCATTTAAAGAGGGCAGAGGGACATGTCTGATTTACAGAGGTACCATTTAACCCTTCATCTGAAAATCATTTAACGTCATCGCACCCCCCCCCCAAAAAAAAATGAATTCAAAGAAGTTTTTATAACAGAATTCGGACTTTTGGGGAGAAAGAAAAGTACATTTTTTTATTTGAATTACAACAAATATTTCTTAATTAATGAAAGGGTCTGAATTAAATAGATCCGAATTTAGATTTAAGTTTTATTTTGAAAATGTCTAAAAATTATTACGTTTCTCTGCTCCTGAATTTCAAAATCATTAGATAAACATTTTAACATTTGTTTGCTTTTAGATAACATGTCATCGCTCTAGAAATTTTTTTAAATCTAACTAGCGTTTTCCAACTGAGGGTGACCAGGGAGCAGGGGCGTATACAGGAATGTGCCCCCCCCCACACTGCATAAACCCAGGCCACATTTATTTTTAATAATACTTTTTTATTTCATTTGATTTTCTAGATAATTTTTCACCTTGGAGGAGGAGGAGGGGGGAGGGTGTTTTTTAAAGATCGGGGGGGGGGGACGAAAAATTCCACATAAAAAGTTTTTTCATTCAGTTTCACACTTTTCACTCAAAATTTTTTTATTTTCCCCTAAAAACCCTTTCTTTTAAACATTTCAGCCTAAAAAAAACCTTTTTTGGAGCGTTTGAAACGACACTTTGCTATCTACTAAGCGAGCTGAAAAGAATTTTAAATATTTTTGGCCAAACAATAATTTCAAACATTTTCCTGTTTAATAACCTAAGAAAAACTTAAAGGGGTTGTTTAATTTCATTTGTAGTATTTCTATATAAAGGTGGCAAAGTTCGATTCACAAATGTAATCTTGATCAATAATGTTGAAGATATTGTCATTTTCTTAGATTTAAAAATTAAGTGTTCATGAAATGTGCAAGTCACTTTTAAAGAGAAACCACAAATGAAAATAATCAATTTTATAAAATATAAACATTGATATCTAACTCAAACTGGATCAATCAAAGCTTTTCAGGAAACCGTTGTGAATCAGCTAGGCCATCTTTGCGTGGAGGGTCGCTTAAAGTTCCTTTAAGAGGGAATCTTGTGCAATATTTATGTGACCTTGTAAATTGAACGCACAAAAGTATTCATTGAACTATCTTGAATCATAACTTGAGTCTAACAATCGTCTTCCTAATTTACAGTTTTCTGGTTCCCAGTGTACAGACCTGCAGGTGTATTTAATAGAAAAACATCTAAAGTTTGTGTAAAAGTTTAATTCTATTTTGGTAGATTCTGGTTTTACCAAGTCATGGTTTTAAATAGTTTTAACTTCTCCCTGTCCACTTATATTGACAACTTTGTTATTCTCACAATATGAACTGTAGCGCTTTTAAAAGATAATAAATAGCTGATTAACATTTTTTTTCTTTTTTGGTTTTTGACAAACAAAAATTCTGAACAGAAGACTACATATCAATGTTACTTGGCTTTAAAGGGAGTGACCGGCTATGTAAGGTAGTTGAACTGAGTATGCAGTGTTTGCAGTAGGAGTTTTGAACCTCGAATTTGCGCTTAAACTCAGGATTTACAGATCTTTAAAAAGTTTAATATGTCTCAAATGAATCCGATAGAAGTTTTCCACAACACTGCATATGGAGCTGACCTCAACTCAGAATTTCTCTAGGACCTAGTTGCACCCATCACCAAGAAAAATGTCCTCTCAGTAGCCTGCCAATTCTGCAACCCAACAGGACTGGCCACCCCTCTAATGTCCTCCATCCTCAGTGCTCTTTCAACTCCACACTTTCCAATAGGAACAAACAGATTACGCTACGATGTCAACAAGATCCTGCTCACAAGAAACATGTCATTTCCTTGCCAGATCATCTTCAACTACTCCGCACAGCTCTTCATCTTTTTTGATGGCAGCCTGCAAGGGTATGGTGCCTGCGTCTAGCACACTCAGATGGTCAGTTCAACATTATTTCCAGGTCAGCCAAGATATTAGAGAAATCTTCATCTGAGATTGCAGGAGCTGTTCTGGCCACCAGAAGATCAGCCAGGAACTGTTTAATGTATCCCTCTCCCCACCTGTATTCATTGGAGACTCAGAGATCATCCCAAAGATGATTGCTAAAATTGATTCTGCTGGGCCTCCAGTGTTCTATGGATCCAGACTCAGAGATATCCTCTGTGTCCTTTCCTGACAACTGGTTCAGGTGTCCTGGACCTCAACATTAATCCACAAATCCTGCAGAACCCTGAACCCACAGCTACCTGGAACTCAGTCAAGACCTCCATCATCAAGTGCTTTGCCACTGCCACAGAAACAATTATTGCCACCAACAAGCTGAATTACCTCGTCCACCAACCCCTGGACAGTGTCTATTACATCTCAGACCATCAGACCGATCCCAAAGTTTCACTGATCTGCAAGAAGAGTATCTTTGCAAAGTGTATTGTGCTTGATGCACACGCCAAACTGGACATTGCCAAGATACCCTCCAAGTTCTCTCTCACATTGAATTCAAGTTCTTTATCCCTGGAGTCCACAAAATGATCAATGTTATGAAGAAATCCTGTCCAGGTTGTATCAAACTGACCAAGAAAAGCTTATCTGCCTTTGAGACTGATGTTCTCAACGTCTTACAGACTGCTCAGCCTCTGTTCTTGTTCTGTCAGGCAGATATTTTTAGTCCTATCCTGGCCTCACAGGACAACATTCAATTAAAGAGATGGGTCCTTGTAGTACTCTGCCTCTCCAGTCGAGCTGTTCACCTTGAAATCCTACACAACTACAGCTCCAAGAGTATCACCAGGCCTTAGGAGAACCTTTGCTACTCCATCAAACCCTCCAATCCTTAATCACTCCTCATCATCTTGAGATATAATTAGACATTCAATAACATTTAAAAATCAACATTTATTTGTACTTTTTTGTAGGTTTAAAATATATCCGTTTATGTGAATATTTGCAACTTTGTGTCTTAGTGTAACGATGGCGAGGTGTTATGATCTTTTGATGATGTTGTCACGTTGTGAGGATAAAATATTTATCCCTTGTTTGTATCTGTAAATAGCACGGCGGGAAATACAAGTTAAAGTTGGTTGACCCGACGCTGAGATGGGGCCCGGGTAAAGAGCCCAGGTTCATTCACCTGGGAATGTGCATTACTAATTAGCATTAGGGATTCCCAGAAAGGAGGGAGCAGGTCAACCTGTACCTGATCCACAGGCAGTTGGCGATGAACCTTCACATCAAGGAGTTATAAAGAAAATTGGATCGTGAGTAGGAACTCAACCTCAAACTACATTCTCCCGGATAAATTTGTATCAAGCATCGTTTGTTATTTTATCATTAATAAAGTATTTATACCGTACATCGTTTAATATTTGGTTTGAATGAACTTAGTTTTAGCCCTTCTGGCCGGAGAAAATATATCTCCTCTTTTCATATTTTTCATATACTACATTAGTTAAGGCGCCTAGTCAAAAAGTCAACCAATCAGCTTATCAACAAGTTAACTAATCAATTTACCAACTAGTCAATTAGTCAACGAGTCACCGACGCCCCGCTTGAGTTTCTACATACGCTTATTAAAGATAAATACCTTGGTAAACATCTTAAAGCCCTTTGAAGTCTACAAGAGTACAGGGTCATCTTGCATTCTTTCTAAAATAATAAAGATTAAATATTTATAGGTTTTTTTAAACTTTACGCGACTATTACTGTACATTTAAATGTAGATTTAAATGAGTGCACTTGTCCGAGTAGCTACAGTACTCTATAAATCTTTGCTTTGGTAGGCAATTAAATCAATATAATGAAGACTTTTTTGTTATTAATTTTGATTTATATCAAGCTTTTAAACAGCATGGGTAGACAAAAACATGGAAACTGCAAAGAGAAGCAGTAATTTGAAGAAGGTTCTCTTTAATTGCTTGTAAACTTGTATTTCGATAAAAGTTTGTTTACAATCAAAACTTAAATAAAAAATGTTGTCTTCTTAATACAATTTACTTATCACCGTATTTTAATTCTTTAACTTTCTTTGTGTCAGAGAGCATAAAATGCAGATTTATGCAGTAAAATATCAAAATTTTACTTTTCAAGATATACAGGGTGTCCCAATAAACATGGGAATTCAGTGATGAATTCGATATCGTCTTTTTAAACAATTTTGTGATTTAGTATAAGAATGCTTCCTGAGAAAGTTGTAATCCGTAAGATTTTCGTCTTCTTCGTTTACAATTTGTTTTTTTTTGTGTTTTGACTGCATATGGTTGTACTTAGTAAATCAAGAGCATTACAGCAAACAAACAGAGTAAACTTGTCCGTCTTCACAGTTCGTCTTGCGGAGACATTATAAACAGATCTTAACAGCCATTTACCGTTTTCATAGAATAATGATTTCGTCACTGAGTTCCCATTTTTATTGGGAAACCCTATATATGGAAAAACGAGGATGTTGAATTATCAATATGATAAATGACGGGTCAACTTAAAATTATGTTCAAGACCCTTTCAAGTGCTTTTTTTTATGTCTTAAACTATATAAAATGTCTTTAATGTTTGGACAGCAATGCAAGACTGTACAATACACTACAGTGTACACATGGTTCAATTTTGTAAACTACAGTACAGTGTACACAATACACATGGTAAAATTGTGTACACCACACTACAGTCATACACAATACACATGGTTCAGTTGTGTAGAAAAAAAACTGAAAAAAATATAAAGGACATTTTCTAAGCTTGTAAGAAAATACTTTAAAAAACAATTCTTTAAAGTCTAGACGTTTCAGGTTAGTGTTTAAGAAATATATATTCTAAAAGTAAACTTTGGGTTAAATAAACATGATTTTTCTAGCTTATCAAATAAGTAATAATTAATTAGGTGCAACATACAAGTTTCCTAAATCAATAAATTAATTATTTATTTCAAACCAAGCGCTCATATATTTATGATTAAATTGGATACACTCAGTTGACATTTACTGCCGCGGACACAAAATTTCAGGAAATGAATTATTTTAGTTTTTAACTTAATTTTTAATCTCATCTAATGCTTATTCAAAATTCATTGCAATTGGGTGTTTGGTATACATACATTTTCCTCTTTCTAAACTTGAAACCAAGCATTTTACATGCATTTTGTTACGCCTTATTTTAGGCAATATCCACATATACAATTACATGCATAAAATTGTTATTGGCAACTTATTTATGTATCCATGGTTATTTCCTAAACAACGATTTTTGCCCCCCCTCTCTATCTGTAAACCCCCAGTTCTCATACTTTCTATATGTAAACTCTAGTTCTCATAATTTCTATCTGTAAACTCCAGTTCTCCTACTTTATATCTGTAAACTCCAGTTCTCATACTTCCTATATGTAAACTCTAGTTTTCCTACTTTCTATCTGTAAATTCCAGTTCTCCTACTTTATATCTGTAAACTCCAGTTCTCATACTCTCTATCTGTAAACACCAGTTCTCCTACTTTCTATCTGTAAACCGCAGTTCTCCTACTTTCTATATGTAAACCCCATTTCTCCTACTTTCTATATGTAAACCCCAGTTCTCCTACTTTCTATTTGTAAACCCCAGTTCTCCTACTTTCTATCTGTCAACTCCGGTTCTCACATTTTCTATCTGTAATTTTACAGGCATATTAGTATAAATAAAAAGATGAGAAAACAAATTTAACGGGTATTTCAGGTCATTTATTCAATTCTATTCTTTGTGTCTTTTATCCTTTGATGCTTTTATTTCATATCATAAATTTTCTGAGGGGGGCCGCCCCCCCCCTTCAGGAGCTCAGGGTGGGGCCCGTGGGCCCAGGCCCCCTTTTAATCCGCACCTGATACCAGAAAACGTAGAGTTAGCTATATGCTATTCCTAGTTTCATATTTTTATTCAACTACAAAGCAATGAGAAACAGGACAGTTGGTAAATAGTTTTATGTCGTCTTCCATACACTGTATTAGATATTATTTCGTTTTGAAAATCTTTTGCTCAAATATATTTTACTTTGAAATTAATATTACTATAAAATGACTCCTATATAATATTTTCATTATTGTCTTTGGTATTATAACAACTTAACCAATTATGGAAGAAGACATTCTGAGCTATTATACCAACTGTCATGTTTCGTGGGACACCCTGTATTACAAATAAGCAATCACAATTTACTATGCAGTTTGGACCCGCTTAACCAGGGCAGGTTGGTTTGAGTGGTTGGCCCTAAGTAAGTTAACGATAATGAATGTAATTGGATCATTGGATCATTCATCAAATACACATATGTTTTGGAAATGACTGGAAGGTAGGAGTTTGTATTATATATGTAAAATGTATGTTTGGTCTCTCTACAATCCACATAATATATATAGCTTGAACTCACGATAAGAACTAATATAATTCAGGCAGTGTGCCTCTGCACTGTCTACAGTGCCTGTATTGTTTATATTCAATATATCAGCTGATAAACATAAACCGGTGTCCTGTATGGGGCGGACTCGACCCCTAAAGTTTTATTCATTTTAACACAATGTTTGACATAAAAAGCATTAAAACATTTAGAATTATTATTTGACATTTACTGAGTTGGCGTTTAGTTCTTAAATATATTTTAAAGAGGGTAAAGGAAAAAAAGGTTATTTCCCTTTGAATGTCGTCTTTCTTTCAAATCTTTAAACAGTTAATATTTACTCGAGACAGATAATTTTTAATGTGTTTTTTAAATCAAAATACATTAATAAATATCGGAAAATGACATTGCTTTCTTTGTCTTACACTGTGTTTAAATGGTTAAAACTTTAGGGGGAGTCTGCCCCATGCATGAGTCCTCTCCATGCATGACACCGGTTTCGGACAATTGATATTGGCAAATAGATTATCAAGTACTAATCTGTGGCACGGCAGCCAAATCTGTGGCACAGCGACCAAATATGTGGCAGGGCCGCCATATCTGTGGCAGGATGGCCATATCTGTGGTAGGATGGCCAAATCTGTGTCACAGCGGCCATATATCTGTGGCACAGCGGCCATATCTGTGGCACAGCGGCCATATCTGTGGCACAGCAGTCAAATCTGTGGCATACTGGAAACTTTCTGTGGCATCGCGGCCAAATCTGTGGCATCGCGGCCAAATCTGTGGCCCCAGCAACCAAATCTATGGCAAAGCAGCCTAATCTGTATAAGAAATCGTAAATTTGTGTACGAAATCGTAAATTTGTGTACAAAAGAAGAAAACATTCGAATATATTTTCCCTTTCTTGTCCTAAGGAGGCAAAGCAAAAACTGAATTGTAATAACAAAGATGTACAAATTATGTACGCTAAAATGTGTACTGCATATACACTATTTCCTTTCAGGGCTTGCTCAATTTTTTATATTTTTCTGAACAGGGTTTGCTAAAAAATTTACTACAAAAATTTTCTATGTGAAGAATCTGTAAGTTATTTAATTTTTGGCAGAAACTTATTGCCTCAGTTTCATATTTTGTACAAACAATTCAAGATCAATATTCTAAAACTTGAGCTAAAAACTAAATTATTTGTACCTATATACAAAACATCAAATTCAGGAAAAATTGAATTTTAGCTGTAACATTAAGTTCAAGCTATGATTATAGATACTAGTGTTGTTGATAAATTAGAAAATATTCTATATGTGGAAAATGCCTAAACTCCTCATTTGTCTTTATCAACCTAAATGCACTGTTTTAAACTGTCACAAACTCTGTCCTCTCTACCTATCCAGGTATAAAAATGTACAAGTAAATAAGTTGACCGCAACTAGGGTTAATGAACTAAAGAACATATATTTACGGGTTACAAAGATATAAATGAAATAGGTTTCTGGTTTATTTATTATATGCATACGATAGAATTCAAGGTAAAATTACTAGTTTTCATACCAAAACCACAAAAATGTTCTAGGCATCCTCGTTATTATTATTACTATAATAATTATCATTATTATTATTATTATTATAACATGCTGGAAATTATAATTTATTCATAATTTTATGTAATTATCATGTATGTACAGAATATTTTGCTTCCCTCAATGGAGTTCTTCATCTGAATTAAAGATATCTATTTATAAAGTGGTTTGTTTGTTTGTTTGTCCGATCGTAACTCAAGAACACCTTGACCAATTTGACTCAAATTCGTATTGCGGAACTCGGTAAAACCACAGGAATATATTTAGTTTGGTTTTAATATTCTAAGTTGAGTGAGTTGACTTTTACAGAGAAAGTATGGTTTGAAGGCAAAGCTTAGTTCCTATGCTAGTCACACTTTGCGTTGTAAAAAATCAAAAAAGTTGAAAATTTACTTTACTGAAAAATTATGACGTTTATTAGTATAGATTATTTGCAATAAAATGTATGAGGTTTAACTTTTTCTTATCAGTTTGTTACATGCAAATTCTAAAAAAAAATATAATTCTCAACCCCTCCTTCCCTTTTTAATATCCCATTCTCCTCTCCATCCCTTCTTAAACTTGAACTATCCATCCATCTTAAATATTATATCATATAAAAAGAATGTATATAAGAGGACAATGGACGGGGAAGAGTAAAAGATGGAAAAGGAGGAAAGAAATATTTGGGGAGAAAGTGAAGGAAATGGGGGATAAGAAGGGAAGTAAGGAGGATTAAGAAGAGAAGGAAGGGAGGATAAGAAGGGAATGAAGGGGGATTAAGAAGAGAAGGAAGGGAGTATAAGAAGGGAATGGAGAGGGAAGAAGAGAATAATTGAAGGATAAGAAGGGATAGAAGGGGGAAGAAGAGAAGGTAAGGAGAATAAGATGGGAATGAAGGGGGTGCCGGGCCATATCGCCCTGAGCCTTGCAAGGTCTTGTTCTAACCAAGAGAATCCGCCCCTTCAGTCATCCGGCAACTTCTTACTTTGTCTAATACGTTTTACCTCCCTTTGTTCCTTCTCATATCCCCCCCTTTCTTTTCTTCTTATCCCCCTTCCTTTCCTTTCTAAATTCAATTTTCTTCCCTTCTTAATCTCTTCTCCTTCCCTACCTATAATCCCCCTTCATTCCCTTCTTATCCTCTCTTCCTCCTTCTCTTCTTAATCCCCCTTCATCCCATCTTATGCCCCTCCCTCGTCATTTCTAACATATTTTTTTTTAGTGGGCAACCCTGCATTAAATTGGTTTTTGTATTTGCTACATAATTGATGCTCCGAAGAAATTGTGATTAGGGAGTTAGGGTATAAATTAAACATAAATAATTGAACTGAGGAGGAGGTGGAGGAATGTACGGACGATATATTATTAGAAAGTCAGTGCTATGGTCAAACAGTGACTACCCTAAAACTAGTATTGATTTTTTTTAGCAGAGTTTTTACCGCATTTTGACCAACATTACCAACCCATGTTACCCCAAGGGGGGTGTTAAGTTATTCAGCTGTCCCTTGGGACAATTAAGTGAAATAACATCCCTCTGCAAAATTTCATAAAAGATTTTGTTAATTTTCCCCCAAATTGTTTTTAATTAACCAAGACAAATCTATTTTTTTTTATATAAACTCAACCGTATTTCCTTTTTTGTGTTATACTAAAATTTAAATTTTTCTCTAAAAATTATGAATTTATTTGCTTTATCTATTTAGTATAGCTTATCACAATAAAGTTTTGAGAGGCGTAAATTGTAATTCAGTTATTTGGGTTTTAAACATATATTTGCTAATAAAATTAATGTCTTCGTCATAAAACTACTGGAAAAGTAAAAAAAATCAGATTCGAGAACAATTAAAAAGATATTTTAGGCATAAGGAATAAACTAATAATTACAAAAAATAATAATTGGGTATTTCAAAAAAGAAGAGAAAATGAAGTTATAAAATCATACTTTCTGATAATTTTTTTCTGTTGAAAAATTTTTCGTTACAGAATGTAGATAAAAAGATTGTAACCACTAATGTTAAGGATGAAAAACAACTTAACTAAAGGGTGTCCCAAAAAACATGGGAATTTAGTGACGACAAAACTAAATTATATTATTGACTTCAGTTCTCGTGCAGTGCAGAATTTGACAGTATTTGATAAATTTTCAGAATAAAACTTGGAAAACAAGATTATTTCATTACTCAGTCAAAATATGTTTTCATTGACTCATGGATCCAACTCAAAACACAATAGTATTATTTTTAAAGCCTATGGATATAAAATTTATCAGTCAAAATTAAGATATTCTGTAAAAATATAAATTTTTTTTTCCTCCCTTCCCTAACCGCAATATTTCTATCAATCCACTTCCCCCCCTCCCCCCTCCCCGTCTGAAAAATATCGTAATTGCAGCCCCTGCGCCCTTATTCCTGCGCCCTTTGTATACTGTCAATTCTGTAAACAAAAATTGCATTTAATCTACATACTTAGTCAGTTTGCAATTTACATCTAATGTAAAAAGATTCGATGTAAATAGATCAAATTGAACTAGAGGGGGAAGAGTAAATTCACTTTTTCTATGGATTTGAAGAGTTTTTGAAATATCATATATGGTTAACATCATCAGGCTGCAGAAATATAGGGAATTATAAATCTTTACCTTTGGGACAAAAACTCAATTCCGTCTTTGTTGAATTCAAGCCGCAATCACAATGCAATTTTAAACAAGGTGTTCCTATTTACCATATCTTGGCTTTTTTTTTAATTGAGAGCGTTTCCCCGCAACAGATTGAAGAAAGGGAATACTATAGTGAGACTGCACTAAAAATAATCTTTTGTCAAAGAAAGATTAAAAATTTACGAATTTCTTTCTAAAAATCAAAGACTTTGCCAATCTTTAGCAAGGTCTTTGCTAAAAAATAAATATTAGCCTATGAAGCCACGTATATAACACAAACCTTATCACACCAAGAAAAATTCACGCCCCCCCCTCTCTACATAACAAAATATCCTAGTTTTTTTTTAATGCATCTTTCTGCCGCTTTCACTTTTTCCATGGAGTCAATTAAACGTTTGTCCTTTTCCTCTGTCCTCTATCAACTGTCCGGCTGAATCAGAGGTTGAGGTTGAGAATATAATATTTGCTTAGCCTCCAAATTTTCAATACTATACTTGTACACTAGAAATAAAACAAGTAGCAGGACAGTAGGAAAATATTATTCTTCCAGAATTCAAAGTGCTTCGTCACACCAATATAGGACTTAAAGGGACTGTACCCGTATTTTTTAAGTGACCCTCCGAGCACAGATGACAATGCCCAATTCAAAACGGTACCTTTAAAGTGACTGCGCATTTCTACTGCAGAATACATTTAAGAATTATCAGTATAAGAAGATTTTTATTTTACTGTCTTTAAACCTAAAAAAACGATAATTTCTTCCACAGATAAAGGTTTCAAGGGTACCGTTGTAAATCAGGCATTGTTATCTTTGCATGGAGGGTCATTTGAAACTATGATAACATGGTCACTTGAAACTATGATAACAGGATAACTTGAAACTATGATAACATGGTCACTTGAAACTATGATAACAGGGTCACTTGAAACTATGATAACATGGTCACTTAAAACTATGATAACATGGTCACTTGAAACTATGATAACAGGATAACTTGAAACTATGATAACATGATCTATTGAAACTATGATAACATGGTCACTTGAAACTATGATAACAGGGTCACTTGAAACTATGATAACATGGTCACTTAAAACTATGATAACAGGGTCACTTGAAACTATGATAACAGGATAACTTGAAACTATGATAACATGTTCTATTGAAACTATGATAACATGGTCACTTGAAACTATGATAACATGGTCACTTAAAACTATGATAGCATGGTCACTTAAAACTATGATAACAGGGTCACTTGAAATTAATTGATACTGTTTTTATCTGCAGAAAAATAGTTTGACCATAAAGTTAAAACTTTTCATTCTTTGGTGCTCAGCTTTAATAAATGGTTATACCAGTTATTTACTTTTAAAAAAATCTGATTTGTATTAAATTGATTTTAATTCAATAATTCATTCTTATAATTGTAATCAATATATTCTGATCTGATTTATAATCAATATATTTTTGTTTATAATCAATATTTCATATTTGTAATCGATATATTTGTAATCGATGTTTTCATATTTTTAATCAATATATTCATATTTATAATCAAGATGTTCATATTTGTAATCAATATGTTCATATTTGTAATCAATATGTTCATATTTGTAATCAATGTATTCATATTTGTAATCAATGTATTCTTTTTTCGTAATCAATATATTGTAATTTGTGATCAATAATTTTTTTTTTCTAATCAAAATGTTCTTTTTTTGTAATCAAAATGTTCTTATTTTGTAATCAATTATTCTCATTTGTAATTAATATCTTTTTATTTGTAATCAAGTGTTACTTATTTTTAATCAATATAATCTTATTTATAATCAATATATTCTAATTTCTAACCAATTCATTTTTATTTGCAATTAACATACTCTTATTTGTAATAAAAATATTCTTATTTGCAATCAATATATTCTTATTTGCATTTAATCTATTCTTTTTTTGTAATCAATATATTTATCAATATCGATTGGTATTAAGGTATTCTTATCTATTACTTTTATATATTCTAATTGTGATCAATATATTCTTGATATTTGTAATCAATTTGTTCTTATTTGTCATCAATATATTCTTATGTTTAATCAATATATTCATATTTGTAATCAAGTTATTCTTATTTGTAATCAAAATATTCTTATTTGTAATAAATAAATTGATATTTGTAATCAATATATTCATGTTTGTAATCAATTTATTCTTATTTGTCATCAAAATATTCTTATTTGTAATAAATATATTGATATTTGTAATCAATATATTCATATTTGTAATCAAGTTATATTCTTAATTGTAATCAATGTTTTCTTATTTGTAATCAAAATAATCTTATTTGTTATTAATATATTCTTATGTGTAATCAATATATTCATATTTGTAATCAAGTTATGCTTATTTGTAATCAAAATATTCTTATTTGTAATCAATATATTCATATTTGTAATCAAGTTATTCTTATTTGTAATCAAGTTATTCTTATTTGTAATCAAAATATTCATATTTGTAATCATATCTTAATTGTAATCAATATTTTCTTATTTGTAATCAATATAATCTTATTTGTTATCAATTGTTACGTGCGTACATGAGTGAACAAAGCACAAATTACGATTGTAAAAAAAAAATATTTTCATTAAACCAATTTGTCCAATGTATTTTTACAAGTTATATATTTATCCCTTTTACATATTTTGTACTTCGTATTTAAAGGTTAACAATAGGTGCGTAAAAAAGGCAACCAGGCGACGATCAAGCCTGGTTCAGAAAAACAAAGCAGTCTTGAAGAAGATCTACCCTGTTACACACTCCTGTAAGCCGAGTCCATCAGCGCCTAATCCAATCAGGGTTCAGTCTTGTGTTTGTTGTCTATTCTGAACCAATAGAAATAAAATATCTTCTTATCCAATTAGATTCAAGAATTTGTTCAATCGGCGCTATCAGTAAATGGAAATATTTACTTCTACCATAGTTTCTATGGTGTACAAACAAAATATATCAAGGACTCCGAATCTTCAAAATCATCACCAACATTCAATAAATAAATCCACAAACTGTTATAAAATCATAAGTCCTAACTAACAAAAGTTCTATATGCTAAATAGGACATAGATTCTAATTTTCTATATATGTAATGCATTAACATTTATTCTAAACATTAGAAAAGAGAAATGTTGAAAAATCAAAATTTAAATGTCAAAATTATAATATTTTTTGAAGAAAAACTCTTGATTTTTTGTATCATCAATGTGTCCCTTTTCAGAAAATTTCTTGATTTTCCATATTTTCCACATGGACTTGATGAATTCTCCGAATATTTTCTGTATCCTGAAATATTTTTTTATTATTCAATAAAACGGACCGGACCGTAAGAGAAATTTCAAAATGACCCTCCACCGCCGACCGGAGTCACATTGGCACCATTGAAACCTTTATCTGATCATTACTGTGGAAGATATTGTCGTTTTTCTAAGTTTAAAAGTGTTTAACTACAGTGTGTCCGACAGTTGGTGAATGGTTAAAATGTCTTCTTCCATAATTAGTTAAGTTGTTTGATACTAAAGAGAATGATGACAAATATTATATGCCAATTATATTATTGTAAAATTGATTTCAAAGTAAAATTTATTTGAGAAATTATTTTCAAGAAATGACATGCAAAAAGTCTTTAATATCCAATATAATATATGGAAGAAGACATTCAAACTATTCAACAACTGTCATGTTTCGCGGGACACCCTGTATGATAATTCCAACATGTTTTTCTGTAGTAGAAATCACAATTAAAAATGACCAGTTTTCAAGATTATAAACATTGATACATAATTCATGCCTTTGAGCAGAGTCAGCTTTGAAGGGTACCAATGTAATAAAATTATAAAAGTGTGGTGGTATACCTGTTTTGTATCTTTAATATATGATGGATATATTCAACAATTTTGTATTATTTAATAAATTGGCATCTAGACAATTGTCAATTTTTAAGACAAGAAAATTGTAGACCAAATTTTAGAATTCTAGTGACAAGTGATAATTATAAAAAGAGGGACCCTCTAACATTTTCGCGAAATAATACTGCGTTATATATAAAAACGATATGGAAGTCGTCGTCCAGACTCCCTATGAAAGGGAAATGTACGCGTAATTTCATGTGACCCTCTATGCACAGATGACAATGCCCGATTTACATCGGTATCCTTGAAACCTTAATCTGATCAAAAATGTGGAAGATATCGTCGGTTTTTTTTTACTCGAAAAGTGTTCATTTCTGTAAGTTTCTCCATATTTTGCTTTTTATAAGCAAGAACCAGGGGGGATGATAGTTCTCTACTTGTGTGCTCAGTTATGCTGTACTGTACACTTACAACTGTTCACTAATATTGATATACTATAGGTTTCATAAGTTAGGCCGGAATCTCCTTATGATTAGCGTACATCATCTCTCTATACACTATAACCTCGTTGGCAAGAACTGCGCTTCAGTCACTTTCCCAGAGAAACCCCAGTTAAAAACAAAAACACAAACCTTAAGATATCTAACTTTTACTTAATCATGAGGAAGCTTTAAAAAGTACCGTTGTAAATAGGGCATTGTCGTCTTTGCATGGAGGGTCAATTGAAATAACGCTTACAGTCCCTTTAATTGGGACTGAGCGTGTAATATGCAACTTATGTTGAGAGAATTCCTTTTATTCTTCAATATTTGGTAGCCAAACTATTTTTTGAAAAGTTTAGAAGTTTTTTATGGAAATCACTTTTTTCATTCCATAACTCTTCTTTTAAAAAAATTGAACTGTCTTTACGTGTAAAAAAGATCAAATAATTTCAGTCACTCATCATGAAAGCAAACTAAAAATTAAATCTGGAGGTGGTATAGGGGCACAAAACACTACTGATAACCTTTTATACTTACATGAGAGTCAGTTTTGTGTACAAATACAGGATTGAAGGCACTGTGCAGCTCTAAAAACAAGCAGATACAGGGGGTCCCAATAAACAAGCAGATACAGGGGGTCCCAATAAACATAGGAATTTAGTGACGAATTAGAGATCGTCTTTGCTAAGAATTAGCATTGTATAATACCTGATTTCAAAAGCCATAATCTATTTAAGTCTGCTATAGAGTTTATTTTATGGAAACGGTAAATGGCTGCAAAAACGCGTTTTTAATCTCTCATCAAGATGAACAATGCAGACGGATATGCAGTGTTTATTCAGTCAAAAAATAAACAAAGAAATTGTAAACATAGCAGACCAAAATCCTACAGCTTTCTTAGTGGGTATAACTATACCAAATCAAAGAATTATTTAAAAAAACGATTCAGTTTTGTCTTAACCCCTAATTTATGTAATCAGTAATGATGCAACGCAAAAATTAGTATTATATAATTATACATTTCAGTAAGATGCGCAATTTATACTAATCGAAGGCAAATATTTTGCAAATTATTCGATTTCGGAGTAAATAGGGTTTATAAGTGTTCTAAAACTATATAAAGAAATTAATGATCTAGAACATTTTTGCGAAAGAGATCATTTTCTGAAAATTTTTTGTTCAATTTTAGAAAAATATTTCGGTTTGTACGGTTAGTTCATCTTTAATCTTAAATTACCTTGTTTTTTATCATTCAATCCAACAATAAGAGGTTTAAAATAAATGTTTCCTGGATTCATACTGCTTTCTTGATTCATACTGCTTTCTTGATTTCCTGGATTCATACTGCTATCTTGATTCATACGGCTTTCTTGATTTCCTGGATTCATACTAATTTCTTGATTTCCTGGATTTATACTGCTTTCTTGATTCATACTGCTTTCTTGATTTCCAGGAGTCATACTGCTTTCTTGATTCATACTGTGATTTCCTGGATTTATACTGCTTTCTTGATTCATACTGCTTTCTTGATTTCCAGGATTCATACTGCTTTCTTGATTCATACTGCTTTCTTGATTTCCAGAGATTTCTGTTTTGTTGATTTCTTCTTGCAAATTCTCTGATTGAATGTCCTCTGCTTGGATGTCCTCTGCTTGGATGAACTCAGCTGGGGTGCCATCTGCTTGGATGTCCTCTGCTTGGATGCCCTCTGCTTGGATGTCCTCTGCTTGCATGTCCTCTGCTTGGGAGCTCTTTGCTTGGGAGCTCTCTGCTTGGATGGCCTCTGCTTGGATGCCCTCAGTTTGGATGACCTCTGCTTGGTACCTCTCTGCTTGGGAGCTCTCTGTTTTGATGTCCTCTGTTTTAATGAACTCTGCTGGGGTGCCTTCTGCTTGGATGTCCTCTGCTTGGATGCCCTCTGCATGCGTGTCCTCTGCTTGGATGCCATTGACTTGGGTGCCTACAGCTTTATTTTCTGAAATGTAGGAAAAGCCTTGATTATTTTCCATGTTCATATCTTTATTGTAATCAAGATTAAAAGTTTCTTCCAAAGTTTCATCAGGTATTGAAACTTCTTCTCTTGCATTAATATCTGATATATCTGGTGAAGCATCAGAAAATTTTTGAGGAAGGACAGAAGAAGTGGAAGCTACATCCGAATTAGAATTTAATGTAGTAGAAACAGCTTTGAGAGCCCACAAGGGCCCAGACACATCTAAAGATATATCAGAAGTAATCGGAGATAATTCTGAAGCATCTAAACTAATATTTACAACCATTAAATCTTCAGACGAATTTTTGGGAACATCAGAATCAATTGGAAGTAAATTGGGAGCAATTTGGGATGCAGCTTTAACATTCGAAGCTCCTTGAGCAACAGTTTGGGGCCTATCAGACACACTGAATAGTCCAATGGATATGTTTGGAGAAACATAAGAAATAACAGGGGGTACATTCGACACTTGGGGGAAAACTGAGGAAGCTATTGGGGGTGCGTAAGGATAAGAAGGAGAAACTTTAGTCCAATGAATTATAGAGGAATGATCAGATATACTTTTAGACGAATCAGCCTTTTCCATCTTGGCTTCATATTGATTGATATTTGGTTGATTTTGTATTGCGGCTTCATATTGATTGATACTTGGTTGATTTTTTATTGTGGCTTCATATTGATTGATGTTTGGTTGATTTTGTATTGTGTCTTCATGTTGATTGATATTTGGTTGATTTTGTATTGTGTCTTCATATTGATTGATCTTTGGTTGATTTTGTATTGTGGTTTCATGTTGATTGATATTTGGTAGATTTTGTATTGTGTCTTCATATTGATTGATCTTTGGTTGATTTTGTATTGTGTCTTCATATTGATTGATCTTTGGTTGATTTTGTATTGTGTCTTCATGTTGATTGATATTTGGTAGAGTTTGTATTGTGTCTTCATATTGATTGATCTTTGGTTGATTTTGTACTGTGTCTTCATGTTGATTGATATTTGGTAGATTTTGTATTGTGTCTTCATGTTGATTGATATTTGGTAGATTTTGTATTGTGTCTTCATATTGATTGATCTTTGGTTGATTTTGTATTGTGTCTTCATGTTGATTAATATTTGGTAGATTTTGTATTGTGTCTTCATATTGATTGATATTTGGTTGATTTTGCATTGCTTCTTCATATTGATCTATTTTCGCTTGATTTTGATTAAATAGTTGAATAGCAGATTGATCATCATGCTTTTCAGTTGACTGTGGTTGAGGTTGATTGTTAATGGTATCAGTGGTTCGATAATCCTGTTGATTTCTCTTTGCAACATTATCCAGAATTTCCCATTCCATCCCATCATCAATATATCTGTAGCGAGGAATATCTACAAATAAATATTTCAATTTTATTAGTTCACATTTATTTGCTGTAAAGGGAACTAAACACTTGCCTCAAACTCTAATTTTCTATAAATCCTTATATCTTTGCAATTTTATTTTGCTGACCTAATATTTCAAACTACAAAGTTTGTGTAGTTTAAATAGTAATAGTTTGAAATATCTAAGATAAGCACCAAAGGTTGCAAAGATATGTAAAAATTGAAGCTTGAGACAAGTGTTAAATTTCTAATTCTTACATTCAAAACTTCTTTCAGTGGAAACCATAAAACTGGGGAATAAAAAGACGACTGTTAAACTCAAATTATTATTTTAATAGTCCATTGAACATGAATTAGGACAATAATGTATTGCACACAGACCCATTTAACTTGATAAGTTGATTTTTTTGAGCTTCTGGTAAAACTATTTGTGTTAGCCAACGAGGTTAGCAGCAAATAAAATTACTCAAATCTCGTCTTTATATTCTTCAGTGTCATGGGTCCTATGCTGTTTATGACAATTTTCAGATTTTAATTATAAAACCAAATCTTGAAATGTAACAGAGGTTTTGTTAAAGAAATATAACTTGTTTTTTTTTACGTAGCCACAGTGTGAAAGAATTATATATTCTTCATTTTTCGCCTTTATGACTAGGAAAAAAGAGCGGAATGAAAAGTTTTTTTTCTCTCAAATACCTATTTTTCGTATCAGTGAAGTCACAATATGATTAACCCTATCCTATGGGGGTGAGGGGGGGGGGATTGTATAACTCGAAAAGTATTGGTTTGAGGCTGTTCAAATTTTTTACTTTTCTATAAATTTAGACAAGCCCCTCACTCCCCTCACTTTAGGTTAAAGCTGGACTTTAATACCTACTGTCTAAGTCCTCAGGCATAATATCCTTAAATGCTTTTTAAAATTTTACTAACATAGACATAATCTATATTTAGACCCACTTCCTGTCACTGTATTTCAACATTTTATAGCTCTTTGAAAAGTTTACAACAAAAGGAAGCAGATTGGACAATTCAAACTTTGAGTCTGAAAATGTAGCAATTTTTCGCAAATTTGGATTTTGTTGAGCATTTCAAAAATGTATAATGTATCATATTCCAGGTAACAAACTGAGAAATTTCCCCAGATTTTCCAACCGTGGTGACTTTCTTTGAAGAATTTCCGAGGAATTTCTCAAGAACCATTTCATGTAACTAATTCCTCGGAAATTCTCGAGAAGATCCCCTGCAGAATTAGTCCCCAAGATGAGAGATTTTTGTGGGGTTATGAGTTTTGAGACTCAGTTTCGAGAAATTCATGAGAAATTCTCCGGAACTTTTCCCCAAGAAATTCTTGAGAAATTCTTCGGAACACTTCTCTAGAAATTCTCAGGACTTGGTCACCAAGTTCATGGATTTTTAGGGGAACTAAATGAGAGAATTAGTTACGAGAATTTCCAAGGATATTCTCTGGAATCTCCCCCAAGAAATTTCTAAGAACTAAACAAGAGACATAGTATAAAGATATTCCTGAGAGTTTCTCCGGATATTTCTGAGAATGATATGCAAGCAACATTTAGAAAAGATGAGTTTTTGAAAAATCAAAATTGCCAAAAAAAATATTTTTTTTTGGCCCTAGATCAAACGATTTTGACGATATCGATCCAAAAAAACAAATGGGCAGTTATCATCGGTTCCTCACGCATCTTTTGATATGGGATCCACATATTTTGTAAAAAAAAAATATTTTTAAAGAGTAACTTTTGATTTTTTCCACCCTTTAAGTTGTTTTCGCATGGCACTTAGATTTAAAAAATGGTTATACATGTTTATTTTCATGAATAAATTCTTTTGCATAAATGCTTATATTTTAACTTATTCGAGGTCTTCCCAGTCTTGGGAGTTGATGGAATTACAGCAGGATGTTTAAAGCAAAGTTTGAAAGATGTACTCAAACAAATGTAATAAATATATGAAAGAAAAACTTTGTAAAAATCTTGCTGATTTGAATTATTTATTAAAATTTATAGGTAAATTTTTGAATTATTAAACACATATGTATGGGTGAAACCTGATCCAGCTTCTGTCGCTGCTGGAGATATTGGAGATAGTGACGAGAAGGATGTTGACGAGGAGGATAATTATGAAGATGACAAGGATGATGGTTAAATGGCCGAGAACTAAACTGACCAAGGTAATGACAGGGTAGAAATAGTTTTTTTTTGAAAGCTTATGCTTTGCCAATATCTCTTCTGTCCGATTGATTTTAATGATCTTTTTTAAAAGCAGACTAAATTTAAATTGGCTGACATTTTCACTAAAACAGAATACAATACGAAGCTTGAGTGAAAAGTGGAAGTAACTATAACTGAATATTGATATAAACCTGGTCAACGCCGGTTTTCTAACTTATCATAAATGTACACAATATATTTTGATTTAGGTTAGATCTATTGTGTCAATTGTTTCTGCAAGACATTAGGCTTTGAAGTAGAAATATTTTTCCTGGATTTACAACCTCAGGTACCGCACATAATTGTTCACACTCCGCAGTGCACGTAGTACATAGCGAACAGACAAAATTGAAATAGAATTGAAATGTCGGATAGCGTTTTCGGATAGCGTTTCTGATTTAGGATAAAGAACACACAGATACGAAAATTTTAGGATAATACATGGCGTATATGGACACCCCCATGCACATGCACACCCCCATACGACACACACACACACAGAGCAAACATATAGCACACGATACACAAAACATGTAAAGCTGCGATTCACAACAGTACCATAGATAAATAAATAAACATAGATAGCTTATGTACGCAAAATCAACAAGAATTGTATAGTCCGCGAACTCATACTTCTAGGGGTCAAAGTGTACTTCAATGATATGCGGGGTGGTTTGGTGTTTTAATGGATTTCATAATAGGGTGTAAAATAACTCCGGGAATGGAACTATTTGAATAACAATATTTCACTGAGCAATATATCATATTGACGAGAACCGAAGAAGGACATGAGACAGACTAAACTAACTTAAAGTTCTCTCTACAGAACTCATGTACACCACAAGTACTCAATGACATAAGAACAGCCAATATTCACAACCGACCATAGTAAACCTATATAATAGGAATATCTTTAAAACAACTCTGTACATTTATATCTTTCAAGATGACAAATGTCGTCTTATGCGCAATCTATCTTTATCTATGAACAGTACCCTTGAAACATTTATTAATAATGCGGGAGATAATGTTGTTTCGTCGTTTAAATTCTGATTATTCCCATATTAATGTTTAATTCAGTTTATCAGACTAAGCTTTTCCCTCATAGTTTCAGCCTGATCCCGGCCCGGGAACACGGGCACCAAAGAGCTGGATCAAGGCCCATTTTGATATGCTTGAGGGTCCAACTTCAGAACCTTGAAGGATTCGGTTGTGAATCAAAATTATTATCTTAGTATGGAGGGTTACTTGAAATTACGCTTACAATTACTTTTAATCAAATTAAAAATAAAATCGGTCACAAATATATCAAACAAACAGAGAAAGCTTGCCATTTGTTTAGTAGTATTCATGTAAGAAATTTTAGAAATTTCAAAATAGGTCACCGCACAGAGCCAGGAAAACGAGGATTGGGATGGTGAGGGTGATATCTTCAAAAATGATGAAGACGACAATATTCATTATCAGTTTAGATAAAAAAAGAATTAATTCGATTTTTAAATTAATGAGACGGTGCCGGAACACAAACTGACAGGAGGGTTCTAACTTGAGCAAGAAAGTTTGAATATGTAATAAAGCTCTTTACAGAAGTGTTGTACTTTGCGGTAGTAGTATTGGTGGTATTTGGTGTCAAAGTAAAGTAAAGCTACAAGCTAAATTTACTTACTCAAATTGCAAATTTGAAGAGCTCATGAAATTTTGACCATTTTAAAAGTCTTAATTATTCTGGTCACTTAACATCTTATTTGTTTCATATGGCCCTACCCCCACACCTTCTCTTCCCAAACCATTAAGATCATTACCCATTGCCCATCTCTACCCTTCGATGTGTCATGATTATTCTTAAATGATTAATTTATGATACAATTTTAAGAAGTAATTTAAGAATCTTAGTTTTATGAAAACATTATGTATCAAAAACCACTATTTATAAAAAGTATTGTAAAAAAGACCAGACCATTATATTTGAGAACTAAATTTGTACTAAATTTGTCCATGTTTCTATGTAAAAAATCCACTTAATTTTAATGGAAAAATTGTCCTTCACACAATTATTTGAGATCTCTTACAATTTAATATAATCTGTTTTTCATTATTTTTAATTGGACGAATTGTATCAGTATTCTGTTTTTTTTCCTCAGAAATTGTTAATACTGATTCCTCAGAAATTCTAGGAATTAGATTCGTAAAGTAATCGCATAATTAATTTCGTTGAGGTTCTTTTTGAACTCAAGAATTTCTTTGGTTTTTTTGGGGAACTCATTCTCAGGAAATTCTCGAGAAAATCCCCAAATTCAGGAATTTCCCCAGAATTATCATCAAGACTTTCTCCGGAAATGGAATCAGGAATTTCTCCAGAATTGGTATCAAGAATTTCTTTGGAATTGGTGTCAGCAAATTTTTCGGAATTGGACTCCAGAATTTCTCCAGAATCAAACGGTGAGAATTTCTCCAAAATTGGATTCAGGAATGTCTATGGAATAAATTTTGGGATTTTCTCAGGAATCGAACTAGAGAATTTCTCTGGAATTTGTATCAAGAATTGTTCCGGAATTGGATTCGAGAATTTCTCCGGAAATAATTCCGGGGAACTTCTTGTAATCATTTCCGGAGAAAACCCCAAAATCAATTCCAGAGAAATTTTTAAATTTTTTATGAGAAATTCACGGAATTTCTGTTAACATTTTCACCGGATTTTCCCGTGAAATATTCCTGGGAATTTCCGCTGATTTTTCGCAAAATTATTACATGGGATCTTGTGCAATTTTTATTTTAAAATAAACATTTGGATTTTTGCAAATTTGCAGTGGGAACAGGATGAAACCCGATTTTTTTCTCCAAACTGTTTTTTTTTACTGTTTTCCGGAATTTACCTCTATCCCCTACAAGTACCCAAGTACCAGCATCTGATCCACGGACAATAAAGCCGAGAAGAATAGAAAGTAAAATCATTTTATTCCTTTCTGAAAAATAAAAAATATTTAAATCATTTACAGTTCACACTGGACTAGACCGTAGGATAAGGTTCAATTTATGCAACATTACTGTTACGACTTTGTGACCTCATGCTCCTTTAGTTTTGATTTTCCGCCCAAGTTTGAAGAAAGCATTATTTATACGGTAAAATATTATAAATCCAAAACATGGTTGTTCTTCTAAGTAACTGTTCATGATTAAACACATGTAAAGATTTCCATTTACCCAGCAATTTACTTTTGTTGACGTACATGTATAAACTGTTCTTCACTGCGAACGGGAAGAGGCCAAGGGGTAAGATATATTTTTCAATTGTCAATTTTTCCTATTTAAGTTTATCATTTTTTTAGCATAATTTTTAATTCATCCTTCAGCAGAATAGTTAAGTGTATAAATTTTCCCAAAGTATTTGGTAATATAAAGAGAAGGCATTGGGATTTATACGCAAAACCAGACGCCTCAATTGGTTTAATTAAGAAGCCACAGAATGTCGTCTTTTTTATAATTAAAAAAGATTTAAGAACTTTTAAAGCATATCTCTCACGAAAAACTTGTTTTTTGTTTACGTAATTTGCCGTTAGAAATGCATAACTTTAATATCTTTGTGGAGAAACTTCTTAAAACAGATAGCAATGTTTGGTTTGCAGTTTGTTTGCCACTTCAAACCAAGTTTTTTTGGGCCTTGCTCACTTTACCGGCCTAGAATTCTGCTTTAAACTTACAGAAAACTGATTTTGTGCCCCCCCCCCTCTTATGAAAATTACATAAATAATTTATTAACGCTTGTAATATATAAGTGTGCATATGATCGAATAGTGTTTACTAGTTAAAAAAAGATATCAGTATTTTTTTCAAAAAATGTTTTTTTAGGGGGGGGGCAAAAATGTGCCCCCCCCCTACACAAATGCTCTCGTACGCCCCTGCGTCTTTACTCTTTAAAAAAAGTTTTTAAATTCCTATCTTTCTGTGAATTAAATATTTACATTTACTAGCTGTATGATTTAAGATGAAACTAAGTTCTAGATTCTGAACCTGAACCTTTAAAAGGTTTCAAGATAAACAACACAATGCTACCTAAGTGCCCGTGGAAAATCAGAAACACCTGAATTTTTTTTAGAATTTAGACAGTCATAGATATGTTGCCTATATCCGGCTGGATCGAATGGATTTTCAAAAAACGAATTTTAAAATTTTTTCTTTTTTATTCATTCTAAAAAAATCCACGGTCAACGCCGGGCCCTTGCACTAGTATTTAATTAATTAATTTGAATACTCAAACATAATTCACGTCAAAGAATATTGAATATTTATTGTAAAATAAAAGTGCAAGTAACAGTGAACACAAAGTGGATAAAGGATTATATTTTAAAAAAACAGATCGTTGAATTAAGTTCAAAAGTTTGTACTTAAACGCAAATGCGCAATTCCGTAATAATTTTGCGCAATGAACGCAACGGAATTGCGCGCAATTCCGACAAACTTTCTTGCATTTGTGTTTCAATTTTTTGAGAATATTAATTCAAACTTAATAAATGCAATAAATGCAATTAATCATAGTGCAATTCCGTTCAATAACATTGAGTTTTAAAAAATCAATTCAAACTGAACTTTACTAACATTTTAGTCTCAAATGCTAAGAAAATTGAATTTAAACTTAATTTTTAATTTTACAATATTCATATACAGCGAATACAGCAAGATTACCAGAAAACTGTGGCATAGGAAGACGACTTTTAGACTCTAGATAAGACTAAATAAGTGATTTAATAAGTTCCTAATTAAATTTTTTGCTTTGTGACGACATCTAATACACTGTAATGTTGTCTTTCTGGTTTTCACTGTAGCGAAATATCTAATATTGATTAAATGAATCTTACAATTTTAACAAAAAAATGTATTTATAGTAGCAACCACAAGAAACTTAAAAATTTTTAAAATATCAACCCTCGACTATTTAAAAATCTACAAAGACGACTTTTACCCATTTACAATCTGCTGCATAAATTTGTATGTCACAGTTCAAAATTATTGATTTTTTAAATGGATTAATATTTGCAAAAAATTCCCTCGCACGCAACTCCACGAATATTTGATTGATTCCTTGTTCGCAATTATGGCTCAATTCCCCGCAATGAAATGGCGCAAGTGGAAGCAAACATTGCGCGCGACGGAATTCCGATTGTAAACCTTAATAAAAACATATAGTAATAACCAGAAGACTCTGAAATAGGAAGACGACTTTCATGCTCTTAATGTATGACTTTAATTAATTAAATGACACGAAGCACAGCAATTACGCGGTGTAAACAGACTTATTTCAGTAAGTAGTTGTATAAGGATCTAGTAGAATTATTTTCTTTGTAGTATAACCCAAGTATCACTACAATGTCGCCTTCATGTTCCTTTGTTTTCTGGTTCTCACTGCATACGATGTTATATATTTAGAAATATATTGTTTTTATCATTTAACTGTATTTATTGTTCATTGGTAAAATTAGTAACTTATGTCAGTCGTCATACCAATCCAATGTTTTCATGTAAGATCGAATCTTCTTAATGGAAACTCTCTTTCGCATTCAATAAAGTATACATCACTAAGAACTTTTTTATTCATAATAAATAGTAAATTGTTTAGTAATCAAAATACAGAATTAAGAGAATGGAGATGAATGAAAAACATTAGTGATGACTGATGATTAACTAAACGCGAACCTATTCTTTTTCAATAGAACTATTACTTAATTTTTTTTTAGGATTCAGGTAGTATTCAGAATAAAGGTCACCGATGAGCCCCCTCCCCCATTAAACATTTACAATTGAAAAATTTCAGCATAACATGACGATAAAAGAAATAAGAAAAACAAACTTACCCCCCACCACAGAAGGGAAATAATTTAAAAGTAACATTTTCCTTACAAAATTTATAAAAAAAACTAACTATCGAAAAATTACTCTATAGAATAACAGTAGTTTTATCATGAGTTCTGAATGAATCACGTAAGCGCTTCAAGCTGGTAAACAAAATAAACCACGTGACTTGAAGGTGAGAAAATCCGGGGAACTAATCCAGTGAAGCAAAAAAAACACGTGGATAATATACGTACAGGAATGAAACAAAAGTGTTCAAACAGGGAGGTAATTTATCTGTATACTGAGTATTCAGAAATAGAAAAATACGAGATGATAACATATAAAAAAAATAGTGTTAAACGCATTTTTGGTATGTTGCAAGCACGGGGATCAGAAAGTGTAAAGTTTATGGAGTACATTAAGCATTCAAACATGGTTTGAAATGCAAACTTGCATTAATGTGTTAGTTAACTAGTCAAGGTAAATCATGTAATCTTAGAATTTGTGTACACTGGTATAACGTACACTTCACGCCAGAAGAATATCTAGTTTAGTTCAAAATTTATCTTGTCATGGTTACGAACTAATTAAAGATATCGACATCTTTTACTGTTCTAAGCATGTCTTATGAAAGTTGACCTCCTCTCCAGTTTGTGTGCAACTGTTTCTTTGAAGGTTGACCACCTCTCCAGTTTGTGTTCAACTGTTTTTTTTAAAGGGCTGACACCTCTCCATTTTATTTTAAACTGTTCTCCTAGAAAGTTGACCTCTTCTCCAGATTGTGTACAACTGTTCTATGAAGGTTGACCACCCCTCCAATTTATGAACACAACTATTTCAAGAAGGTTGACTTCCTCTCCAGTTTAATTACAACTATTTTAAGAAGGTTGACCTGCTCTTCGCTTCATGTACCCAATTATCCGTGTAATAGCTTCTAATCTTCTCTTCAGTGAAGTTTGACACAAAATTTGTTGCTGAAAAAAAAATTTAATTAGTTTAAGAGAAAAATAAAGAGGATTTTAAGTTACATATAGATAAAGATAACCTTGAAATTAAGTAAGTAAGTAGATTCCTTTGAACAAAAATTACTTAAATATAAGCTTACACTGAATCTACATGAGCTAAGGTTTCTAAGAGGAGGACCATGGACCCACTTAGATTATGATTCATAACAACATGGACAATGAATCTACATAAGCTAAGGTTTCTAAGATTATGATTCATAACAATATGGACACTGAATCTACATGAGCTAAGGTTTCTAAGGTTTCTTGAATTTATTTGTGATATTCAGTCGTCAACCTTTTTTCCCATATATGATTCTTGAAACAATAATCCCAGAATTCTCGTAGTCCTGACATTTCCAAAATGTGGTCTGCCTTTTTTGTGCTTTAAACATTACCGGAGATATTTAGAATTTTGTTCAGATTTCCCTTTTATTAATACAAATCAAAATTGTCGAAATCTGAACTAAATTCTAAATTTCTCCATTCTCCGGTAATGTTAATAGCACAAAAAAGGCAGACCACATTAAGGAAATGCCAAGACTAGGGGGTATTTTGGGATCATTAACACAAGAATTTTACTTCTAAAATAAGGTTTACGAATAAATGCCGCGGATTTTTTCAAATATCAAAGACGACCTCCAATTCGTCTTGCTACTGTCATGTTTCATGGGACACCCTGTATCAGAGCTAAGGTTTTAACAGGAGGACCTTAAACTACTTGGATTATGATTTTTATCAATATGGACACTGAATCTGTCTGAGCTAAGGTTTCTAACAGGATGAACCCTGGATCAACCTGAGCTAAGGTTTCTAACAGGATGAACCCTGGATCAACCTGAGCGAAAGTTTCTAACAGGATGGACCCTGGACCTTTCTGAGCTAAGGTTTTTAACAGGATGAACCCTGGATCAACCTGAGCTAAGGTTTCTAACAGGATGAACCCTGGATCAACCTGAGCTAAGGTTTCTAACAGGATGGACCCTGGACCTTTCTGAGCTAAGGTTTTTAACAGGATGAACCCTGGATCAACCTGATCTAAGGTTTCTAACAGGATGAACCCTAGATCAATCTGAGCTAAGGTTTCTAACAGGATGAACCCTGGATCAACCTGAGCTAAGGTTTCTAACAGGATGAACCCTGGATCAACTTGAGCTAAGGTTTCTAACAGGATGAACCCTGGATCAACCTGAGCTAAGGTTTCAAACAGGATGGACCCTGGATCAACCTGATCTAAGGTTTCTAATACGATACACCCTGGATCTTCCTAAACCTATGTTTTTAACAAGAAATACTCTGGTCCTACTTGGGTTATGGTTTAATATAGACCCTAAATCTACCTAACATTATGGACCCTGGACCAACCTAAGACAACGTTTTTAAGAGGATGGACCCTGGACCTACCTGAGCTAATGTTTCTAGCGGAAGTATGGCCAGGACCCACCAAGACCATGCTGGCCCTGATTGAGAACTCCAATATTCCCGTTCTACTTCCGGCATAACTCCGTAGTGGGATATTATATTTGTCTACAAATATTAAATATTTTAGACATTTTTCAATATGTAATGTATGCTCTAAATTAATGTTGAAATAAAAAATATGGAAAAAATTGTAGCATAGATTATATACAATTATAAGAACGATAATAATACGCTCCTTGAAACATTAAGATTGGGGATAATTGATTTGTAAAAATAAAATGCTCAAATAAAATGGTAAAAAGATTTGAAATAAAATTTCATTAGTCAAAGTATAAATTTATAAACAATTTTGAAGAAAAAATTTTAACTGAGAAAAATTCTCAAAAAATTGACAAAATTGGGATTATAACCTTACCTTAACACTAGGCTCCATATTATTGAACCAAGTAAGAGCTAGTCTCTGGGTCTGATCATGCAGATCTTTCAGCTCTAAAATTAAATAATCAAGAAAAAAGAAAAAAAGGGATAATAATTTTACAAAACTTCCATTAATATGTTACAATAATGACATAAATTGGATTGTTTGATTTAATCCATTTTATTTAAATCTTATGCCTAAAGCAGAGCAACAAAATTTGGACCATTGTTGAGATTCTACGGGCAACGTCGCCTACTATAGTATATACGCACTCCAATCTGACTTTAATTAAGATTCATTTAAAATCAAGGCAAGCAACTGACACCAAAGTAGTCCGGTCAAATATTTAATCCATAGCTTTAATAACCGTTAATTAAGAACACCCAAAAGTAGTATTAAAAATATGTTGAAAAGTTAAATTCAATAAATAATTTGTTTTTTTTTAAAAGACTAATGTCTAGTTTTTTATAATAAAATTGTGTTGTGTATAAATTCCATGATCAAAATAGTTGTAATTCCAAATTAATAATTTCTTAAAGAAAATTCGATGAAAATTGTTTGAATGATTCAAGCTTAAGAATAAATTGCTATTATTGAAAGAAAACCATGTTATTGTGAAAATTATGTTAATAGGAAAACTATATAAAGAGAAGAAAGGAATATTGAACACGGGTAATAAAGAATCCAGTTATACCTAGACTTTGTGTCATAAGCTATTGGAAATCCGGTTAAAGCCAGTGTCTAGATTCCAACTAAATCCGGATTTTGTATGACAATTAGTACCGGGATTATATACGATCTTAAATACAGTTAGACGAGGGAGGGGGTGCAGAGGCGCCATTAGCCCCGCTAAAATGACTTCCGGCCTTCAGATTTGCAGAATCGCCTCCACCATTTTAATTGAAGTTTTTTTTTGGTTTTTTAAATTCCTTAAATTGTGAAGAACTATTGCAGTTTTCTATATAGATAGACAAATTTTATATTATTTAACAAGGGGTTTCATGTACGAATCAAACAAAATCAGCCGCACAATTCACAAAACACAGTAGTTTTTTTTTTTAAATCCTTGAATTTGTGCTTTTATTGTATGATTTAGAAAACATTGAAGAACTATTTTTAGTTAATTATTTTTTAAATAGTCTAAATATCTATAACATGCTCTACTAACAAGACAGGACAGCGTGGTGTCCTGTACTTATATTTTACATGCTATTAAATTGGCCTGAAAAACAGCTAAACAGGGGATTTTGGGCCATGTAAATAAAAATTGATACATGGAGGAGGAAGGGGGGTTGTACATAATAGGACAGATCCTCATTATATTTGCATTTTTATGATTAAATTTAATGCTAAGGACTCGATAGAGTTAATATAATCTTGAAACTATGATGTCTTCAAAGATATCAAAGTCATTAATAAACTTTATGTAAACTTTTTACAAAAAAACCTTAAAATGAATTAATATTTCAAATTTGTTGATTAAGTGATTCTTAAAACTATTGCGGAGTCTACTACAGTGAAACCCTTAATAAAGAATACATCGAAAGAATTCATCAAATGTCGTATTCAACACTTTCTGATAATGGAATGTTGCAGATGTTTAGTTTTTTAATTAAATGATTATATGGAACTCTTTAAAACTGTTCCCGCATATTCATGGCTATTTATTTATTTTCGCAAACACATAAATTTACGTAATATAGAATAAAACTCAATGAAAAATTGTCAAGACAACATTTGATAAATTCTTCCGATGTATTCGTTATTAAGGGTTTCACTGTATGAATATTATATTTCGATTTTTGGTTGGTTCAGCCATTAAGGGTAAGCAAAATATAAAAACAGCAAACGGAGATCAAATGCGGGGTGTGGAGACAAAATGGCGGAGGCTCGGAAACGTAGCGAGAGGCAGATAGATCCGGATTTTATTCATCATGACCCCTGTTCCAGTGAACAGATGAGGGTTATTCAGATTAAAGGGACTGTAAAGGAAAAATGAAAGGGGGTATAGGCTGAAAGCTAATCACTTTAGCTCTTGATCGCGACCCATGAAAATTATATCTGATGTTCCCATCTCGAGAAATTGATTTACAACTTTGTCAAATTTATACGAAAATTAATATGTATATACAATTTTGTATAAAAGTAGTGGGTTTAATAAGATCAAATTCAGCATATATGCAACCAATCTGAAAACGATAATATCCCAGAGAAAGCTGATAGTAACTTAGGTTTACTCCAATTCTAATTTTTATTTGTTATTTCTATTTTATATAGATTTAATTCATAATATTATTTATACGTCCGTATTGCTTGACCAGAAATTCCACCAATGGCAGTGCAGTAAAGTGGTACGTGATACAGGCTGAGAAACGTGACCAGTATACTGCTTTGCCACTGGTGATAGTTCTGGTCACGTGATTTAAGTTTAAGTTTTTTTAAATTTTACATATATGAACTTTCGTATAATTTTAACACAGTTTTATATCAATTTCTCGAGATGGGAACATCAGATAAAACTTTCATGGGTCACGATCAAGAGCTAAAGTGATTAGCTTTCAGCCTATACCTCCTTTCATTTTTCACTTACAGTCCCTTTAAAGAGGCTTAAATCCAGATAGATCCGGATTTTATGCAACACTAACGTGTCCATTACTTTGAATTTATAAACCTAAATAAGATCAATTATACTATTTGGAAAGAAAAATTTATTAGATACTAAGTGGAGTACCCGGCGTTGCCCAGATTTTTATTACGTTCATAACGCCGTTTACCCGAGCTTTGATGATTTAACCTTAAAGTGCCCGGTGATACCTTAAAAAATATCAATTTTTTCCGGGGGGGGGGGGGCTCAGCCCCCGTTAGGACCTGAATATCCCCAGAAATCTTTAAATGGGGAATGGAACAAGCCCCTGGATTAGCAATAGCTTTCAATCGGATTATGAAAGTTTCATGTTTATAAATTATTTAAAAGAAAACTGATCAAAAACGTGTCAGTTATCCAGCACTTATGAAACCCAAACAAACTGATTAATATTTCAAAAGATAATTACAAAAATAAAAACTTCCATAAAAAGTCTAGAATATAAAAACGTGATAATTGCACTAAATTTATCAAACTCAACCAAGTTTAACTATAATTGATAAGAAAAGTATTTTATAAGAGATTTACACCTGTTACTAAATCAGACAGATTACAAAATGAACAAGTTAAATATGATAAGGAGTGACGACATAATTCTGGATGACGTCATGAAGTTCGGAAATCAGCACAAAACAATCTCAGAATTTTTTTCAAGAAAAACAACAAGATGTTAAATAATTTCTGCAGGAGGGGGGAGGGGGGGTCTAAGATCGTTAACAAAATCATGCGATAAGGTTTTAATCACTAAAAAATAAAATTAAAAATTTAATGTTGGAAATATGAACAAATCAAATCAGACTTTTAGGGTTGATGATATTGTTATTAATACTGAAAGTATTAATATTATATATAATAATTTTTTTCCTTACTTGAAGAAACAGGAACTAAATTAATTTTTGTTTGAACTGCTTAATTTATTGTAAGCCATGAATTCTGATAGATAAAAGTAAGTCAAAATTTAAAATATAAAAAATTATCGAGTGTACACTGTACACTGCATGGGCTACCCCACTCTATAAGTTGCATGATCTGAGCCGGTACAACATGTACTGTATCAACCCAGCACGTTTTATGCAACAAATGTAGCCTGGCAAGATCACAGCAAGTAAAAACAAACAGATGAAAACAAACACACAAACAAACTGGTTCCCTTCACGCCGTCTTACTATTAGATGAGCTTGGGAGTTCTGAAATTGTGGATATCAAGATCAATGCTACATCTACATCTTTTGTTAATCTGCAGATTAATTTGATCTTTATTCGATAACCCGCAATGTAATCGTACCCTAGTGGAAAAACTGAAATGAAGAGATACAGCGAATGGGATTTTAAGTATCCAATAGTTGCCAGCTCTGGTAAGATACGAGTTCTAGAAAATAAATGAGAAGAACCTACCAACTAAACTCTCTCCTTCTGGAACCAGATCGAATAGGAACTCGACTACAGCAGTACTGTATCCGTCCCGGGAGCCACGCTCCAGCACACGAAACCGTCTAAATGCAATCAATCAATCAATAAACAAATCAATCAATCAAATATCCAGGACACATATCGACATATTTTTAAACAATTAATTCAGATATTTCAGAATGATCGATACAGTGATCAAGTCAAAATCAAATAAAACCGATCAATCCCTGAGAATTGATTTATCTATGCGTAATATGGTGTGTACCTGGATCCTATAGTCTCTACAACGCTGCGTCCATCAGCAAAATATTTAATATCTCGTATTTCCAGCATAGTCCCGTAATCAGAAAATCTACACAAAATTACTATCATTCATTTTATTCAGCATCAACAACAAATGCAGCGGTAAAAAGTTTGACTTCAAGGTTACCCAGAAATAATGAGACCACGGAGTCTCAAGTCTAGTCTCTAGTCTCTACTTTGCGAATAATCGTAATACACGAAAGTCAATTTTTTTCAATCCGCCCCCCCCCTCCTCCTCCTCCCAAGTTCCAGTATGTGAGAGGGGGGGGGGGCGAAGCTAGGAATAATATAATTAAACCTTAGATGACTATTGTTACACAAACAAATTATCACATATATTATATCTATTATACATGTCAACCAATAAATCAATATGGATTATGAAAAAGAAGTTTTAAAAAAGAAAACAATAAAAGACTTCAGGATAAAGTACGCGGATGAACCTTGATTAATGATAAATATTTTCACTAGAAATATCACAGAAATGCTTTTCATTATTTCGTTAATATAAAAAATTTAAGAATAAAATAAAAAATGAGTATACTGATTAACTTTGCCACTAAAATGAACCCCGTGAAGACGAGGTTGAATTAATTACCCCCCCCCTCCCCATTCTTTAGAGGGTTTACCCAAAAAGGATTAACCTTCAGTAACGACTTATTCAGTCTATTTATTTAAATTCCTGGAACCCTATTAGATCACTCTTCTAAAAACCTTTACTAGATCAAATAATATGGTTAAAAAAGGTTTAATTAGTAGAATAGTACAAATTCAACCGTTAATATCATCGTATTCAACGAGTTCCAGGTTTAAGTATCATCGAGGGGAGGAAGGCCAACCACAACAATTTCTCGTCCGAGCCACCTCTAAATCCTCCAAGATAAAACTATTTTTAAAAAACTGGGCCACGTTAGGGCATAATTGAAATATCAAATTTTTGTAATTCGAAAAAAAGTTTCAATTGAATTAAAGATTTCAAGTTTAATGTCTTTAAAAATGTTCACCTTTTTTACGCGCATTTTCAGATATTCCGGTTGTAGAATGCAGCAAATAATTCCAAGTTTATTGAACTTCACTCTTTTTTGTTAAATATAGTGAAAACCATAGAATTTTTCCGGGTGGTTCCATGAGGAAAATTATAGGCAGAGGTATACCGAATATTTTGCTATTTATTTTATATCACGAAAGTTAGCCATTACAGAGGCAGAGGAGATTTAAGTTTTACCTAAATAAAGTTTAACATCATTCTCATGGGTTTGAAGATTCCAACATGATATTGCAATACTTTAGTCCATTCATATTTAATGCCCTAACGTGGCCAGATTTGAAAAAAATAGTTTTATCTTTTTTTATATTCCATTTTATCTCTTTTACAAAATCTAGCAGTACAATATCTTACCTTCTAATCATGAGTCGATATCTTGGTTCGAAAACGTGTAGAGGACATGGTATAAAAGGGAAGCTCATAGTGCACACAAATATAGGCACCTAGAACATTAAGCAATATTAATCAACAATGTCACAGTTTGAATAATGAAACGTTTGTAAGCTTTTCCTCATTTTTCTGCACTAATGTACACTTAACGTGTACACTGTACAATGATAAATAATATCCTCTTTATTACTTCAGTGTTTTGTATTTTTCTTAATAAAATTCCCAAAATGACCATTCCAGTAAATTAAAATCAAAACTTTGGTTTGTTTAGTTATTTTTATAATATCTAAATATTTGAATAATAAATAATTGTTCATATTAAGATGTTAGCTATAGCTGACAAAAAGGCTGAAATTCTTAACTGGAACCAGTGGCCGGGGGTAGCACAGGAGGAATATATTTTTATCCTTTAATTTATGGGTAACGTCGGACACTTAACTAGTTATTATTTTCTATATCGTATAAAAATCAAAATAATTATTTAACCTCAACTCTGCCGTCGGTTCTTGTTCCGGTCAACTCGGAGAATTCTTCTTCAACGAGATTCCGTCGATCCAGGTATTCAGAAGGAAGCATTCGACGGATAGTTTGATCAATAAACTCGTTCACCTCCTGATAAAATAATCATATTTTATTACTACTAGGGATTAATTCATTAAATAAAAATCTCCAAAAATACATTTAAGGATTCTGAAATGACTCATCTTCTCTGTAAAATAAATTACGTTTTTATTAGTCCTTTTTATGTGTTGAGCATTGATTCTTTTCTCGCAATTTGGTTACTAGCAAATATTTCTTTATCTTAATCGTTAAATAATTTTTACAGATTAAAGAAAAATAATCTGTTGTAGTTAAAAGTAGTTAAAAAGAACTAGCTTATCATTATTATTATTAAGATGTTCTACTAGACAAGTAAAATTTTTTTTTTCGATTTTAGGTCTCTTGGACCGGATAAACTTACCATTCTTCCAGCTATCACAGTTAGTTCTGCTTTACAGAGTGGACACTCTGAGCGATGGTCTAATGACCGGTCAAGACAGGATTTACAGTAGGTATGCCCACAGACAGTCGTCACAGGCTCCCAAAGTAATCTAAAAATATCAAGTTTTTTTGTAAAATTAAAATTTTGGCACAAGAAGAGCTGAACTATGAAAGTGTTTATAAAAAACTGACCTAAAACAAAGAGAGCACTCAAAGTCAGCGACATCCACTAACACTGGGTCAATAAATCTATTGGCAGGTTTAAAATTTTGTTCAGAGATCTGGAAAAATCGTTCCTCTATCTGTTCTATCGCCCTGAAAAGATTAATCAAATGAGATAAAGAACATTCCAATTTGAAAAATGTGAAAATAACTACGAACAGACTGTTTCGTAAAATTGGTTTTATCATTATCTGAATAGTGATAACGAGTTGTGGTTCAAGATTTCGGCATGAAATCTAAATTATTCAACAACGCTGTCCCCTTTCCATCATTCGGTAAAATAGTTGCTTCAACAAATAAAAAATTTTTCTTCTTCTTTTTTTTTCATATCAAGATAGTATCATTAGATAAAATATATATATATTAACTTGCTTTGTTTGATTTATTTATAATACCAAATTTTTACCTACACACATTCCTATTTCTAGGTATCAGCAGTCTTTTTCTCATTTCCGTCCCGGTCTCACTTTTATCATCATCGGCCACTCCTTCACTCATCCTGCTCACTACAGTCTTATCCGCCACACTCATATAGGACTCCTTTTCACTCCCACCCAACACTACACTCATAGCACTCTCATTCTCACTCTTTTCAAGCTCTAGCTTAGACTTTTCAGTATCAGTAGCCTCAACACCAGTCTCAACCCCAGCCTCAGCCTCTACCCCAGCCTCAGCCTCTACCCCAGCCTCGACACCGACCTCCACACCATCCTCGACCTTGCTAATCTCCTCTGAGACGAGTCTGAAGAGAACCTTGTATATTTCAGTCTTAACAAGCTTGGATATGTTCTCCTCTAGGACTAGACACTCGAAAAAGGAAACCAAGGCCTCGCCATGTTCTCCTAGAGAAAATCAAATAATAATGGAAACAAATTCTTCAAGTGTACAGTTTTGTTTATGGTAACATTGCTTTATAAGTTCCCTTAGGCAGCAATTTAATCAATGGTCGTAACGTTACCCCCCCCCCTCATTTAGAGACTAATCTTCGCCGCTTATTATCCGAGATTTGAAATGCAAGAGGTTTACGAGATGAAATAATCTTGATTTATTCTTTAACGAAGGCTGCAGACTAAACAAGTCAGTTTAGAATTAATTAAAATTTCCCATCATTCAGCAAGAACAGCTGCTTTTTAAAAAAGTTTAACGTTTAAGCTTTCCGCGCTTTTTAAAACGTTTTTTTTTACCTAATCCTTGTAGAGCCATTCCTTTTCTAAAGTATCCTTTCCCCCAGTCCGGTCGAATACTAATAGTTCGCTCTGCATCCTCTAGAGCCTCCTGATATCTACCAAGCTTGAAGAGAGCATGAGACCGATTGCTTGTCAACAGATGATCAGTCTCAACTGAAATAAAATAAATTTATTTATAATTATGCTCTAATTCTTAGGCTTGTTGTTTTAAAAGTATTTGAACAATGTAATTAAGTTACGTAAAAAGTGATCCACTGAATAAAATTGTATTTTAACTTGAAAGGTGAAAACTAAAAGCAGTAGTACTCAAAGTACCTTCCCTAAATGAGAGGAATTTCAAGTGACCCTCCGGCCCTAATCCGAAGACGCAATTCCAGATTTACAACGGTGCCCATAAAAGCTGTTTGATAAAAAATGAGATTTCTCTAAAAAGTGACTTGCGCAATTCTACTGCAGGAAAGAAAATTATTAGAATTGAACTCTTTTTAACATTTTATGTCCCACATAATTAATTAGATTAAAGGTTTTAAGATTACCGTTGTAAATTACGCTCAAGTCCCTTTAATAATAAATAATGAAACTTATAATAATTACCTAATGCAAATGCTTCTGAATATCTTATTACTGATAACTCTTCCTCTCCACGTTGAAAGAGTTTATTTCCCTCGTTTCTTCAGAAATAAACAATTATTTTTTTTTTCGTGGATTTATATGAACCAAACACATTGCTGGTTTAAAAAGATGATTTAGGAATTTTTAAACTTTTTTGGTTTAACAGTAGAATTCTATAATTAATTATCAAGCATTATCAATTATGAAGTATTAACTAAGTCAATGCATCACAAATACTGCATTTCAATATTAACTGAAAACTGCAGAAAAAAATCTTATTTTAGAGTTTATCGTGTGAAGTGAATTTAGAGTCAAACAACAAGACAAGTCCTTGCATTATTACAAAAGCAAAAATATTGGGTAATTCATTAATATTGAACAAACTAATTGATGGAAGTGCGTTGGGAGTTAATTTTGCAAAACCCCTTTTTAGCAATTATATTCTAAATCTGGTCTGAGAGCAATATCAAAATTTTACCTCAATTCGTAAACTTTCATTTCTTTCGCCCAATACTTCTTCACAAGTTCACTTACAAGGATAGAAGTCTAAAATAAGAAAAGTAAAGAATAATATTGAAACGTTATATTTCAAAAAATTATAGACTCCAATTTAGAATTTTAAAGGATACGGCGAGTAGATTGTTAAGTACAATAGATGGCAACGTAGTATTTGTACACTCTCATTATTGTGTCGGACAAAATTATTAATAATAATGATAATCTTAAAATTGAGAGCTTATCTTACAGTTGAATAAGTGCAATTTTATGCGTTATTTATTTTCGGTTTTTATACTTTTTATTTAATCTTATTAAAACATGTAAACTAATTTGAGAAAAATTTAGTTTTCCTTGTTATATTTGACACTTGTGACGTCGTGTATAATTGGTCCATTTCTCTGTTGCCACCTATTTGGGATCCGGTGATAAAAGGATCAGTTAACAAGCTGCAAGATTCAGACGACCGCTACTACACAAAAATCAAAATTTACCTCCTACTCCCCAAAGCATAAAATACGAAAAATTAAAAACTATTTTATCAGAATGCATCAATATCATCTGACAACGAAAATTAAAACTGTTCGGTAAAAAAAAACAGAGATTAGTGCAAAAAGTGATTATCAAACTATACTTGAACATTTTATTTCCAGCGCAGAAATATGTGATAACGTTGAATAAGTTGACACCATTTAAACATCTACAATATGGCAATGTTCCATAATAAAAAATAATTCTATAACAATGCACACCATGTAGTGATGTAAGAAAGGAATTTTTTATAATGAGAAAGTTACGTCACGTTAAATCAATGTGATACAACGCCAACGCTAAAGACATATTCAAGAGGGGTAAATAATAATTTATTTTCGCTAAAAATCGTCGCCTTTTAGTATCTTAGGAAGGTGTGAGCGGTGAACCATTTTTCAAGAATTCTTTTTCTTGAATTTGTAAATGTATCAAAAAGTGAGAAAAAATTATCTACTTAATACATGAGAAACTTGTTAAAATATAGAGGGGGGGGGGGGGGCCTTACACCTGTATACGCCCCTGCCATAGCTATCCCACCTTTATCTGAATGTTGTTGACTGGATCCTCGAGAACAGCACTAAACTTCTTTCCACACTTGCGACAACATTGGTTTGTCTCCTAAATTAGAAAAAATAATATTTTTTTGTGGAAAATAGTTTTTGTGCACGTCACAAAAAACTTTCCATTAAGTGTGGTTTCTTAAATTGGATTTTATTTTGAGGGTGTTAACTGATTCTTTTTAATATATCTGTACGTAAAAAACCCTCAGACAGGCGGTAAATTGGGAAGGGGGGGGGGGGCTAGAAAGCATAAACAACCCCCCCTTCTCAGACATTCAACCGAACATTGCACCTAAATTCAGAGATTTTAACTCACCTTTGACAAGCACTGTTTACAGGCAGTATGACCGCAAGCTACACTGACCGGATCAATCAGTATACTGGCGCAGCAGAAACAAGACCAAGGGTCGGTTAGAAACATGCGCCGACGGGCCCGAGGGTTTCTAGTAAACTGTTCTATCATCAGCTCACCAATGTCACTGAATAATTCAGAGTAAGATAATAATTCTGTCAATTCATTTTTTTTGTAGAATCAATTTATGTGATATAAATTGCCAAAAAACTTTATACAACTGAAGGCACAAAAAAAATTAAATTAATTTGTCAAGAACAAGAAAATTCGTAAGAAATGACGAAATTGGAGTAAAATTTTTAAATTTAAAATTGTTTGGATCCAAGTTTAGATTTTTTTTTTACATGGAATAAGTTCAATTTTAGTCTTTATCTAAGGAAGTCTCTTGGAAAATACGATATTTCCGTGTACTCCAACGAGGCTCTGCATCCTCTAGAGCCT